TACTTGCAGGTTAAGAAGGTGGTTATATAAAATACTGGAAATTGAAATCTCGAGATTTGTTGATCCAGCTACTTTCACAAATTCAGATTAACAAGATGTCACTGTATTTCAAAGCTGAACCAAATGGTAAGATAAACTTTACCAAATAACACACACTGCTAGGAAAAGGCTATTTGTTCTACTGCGGGTTTGACAGGTAGATTTTATTTCAGTAATGGGTCTAACACCAGGCACGGCCCACAGGGACCAATGGTAGAATCAACAAGTATGAACACATTGGTCAAACCATGTCGGCTGACATCGCAATGACCCTTGATAATCCTTCAAGCTAAAGCTTAGATATTGACCTGCCATCTCAATCCTACAAAGTCAGTGAAATTAATTGATTTTGCTGCTTAATTAATCAGCAGCTAGGGATGAAATGCAGCATGAAAATGTAAAGCAATCACAGATAATCCTCAGCTATTTATGTCCTCCATCCCCTCCGATGTAGCAATCCACTTATGGTGAATATCAAGCCAGTGAATTATTCACACATATTCCTATTGGGTAATATTCCCTCTTCCTCCTGCAGCAACCAGTTTCAGATACCATCAAAGTTCATGGATCACCGACTCCAGTGATGCACCTCATCAAATCAATTCCCACAGTACCAGCCTAATACACTAATTCAGTATTCAGAACAGCTTCCAACCCATTTATAATAAATTAATTATTACATTTTATCGGCACTCGCCTCACTACCCAAAGCATCATATTATAGTACACAAATACCTGGGTGATTATTGGTTATTTTGTTGTTAAACAACACCCTTAGCAATATTCCAGCAATATGACGCTGGTCTGTAAATAATGAACTCTGGACCAGACAATCCAGTGATTAGACCCATAAAGATCCGGGTTAAAATTGGTCTTCAGCAACCATGCCTGTCATAAGAGGCGACTCACTGACTTGGTTGATGCATGTCATCGTATCCAAATTGCATAAAAATCGATGCTCATGATATCAATCATTGGATTGTCTGGTCCAGACTCGATTATTTACAGACTACCATCCTAAAACTGGAATATTGCTGAGAGCGGCATTAAACAACAAACAAAACAAATCAATCCAGTGATTGATATTATGAACAGCGATTCACAGTCGGGTTATGATGTCACGCAATCCATCCTGTCACCAAGCCTGACCATCTGAACCATTCAGTCACCTCTAAAAAGGCGACTAACGGGATCGGGTGGTCAGACTCGCTGACTTGGTTGATACATGTCATCGATCCCAATTGCGTGGATCGATGCTCATGATGTCAATCACTGGATTGTCTGGTCCAGACTCGATTATTTTACAGACCGCCGTCGTATAGCTGGAATATTGATGAGTGCAGCGTTAAACAACAAACAAACTTATAACCAGCATTGGTTGCCTGGCGACCAATTCTACCATGGAATCCCCATGAGGACCTACAGATGAAGAAAACTGTGTACTGCCTTGTTTCTTCAGTTGATGAAATACACCCTCAAACATTCATGTGAACCACATCCACCGTACCTCAACACAGATGCATTGGAAAGCTTCCCATCTGACACTGTGTTTAAAACATGGATGAAAATCAAACATTAAAATATATAGTTATAGCGGCCTTATTTGTAGCTGTCTATATATGAGCCAATAATCTTGCTTTTTCTACAACCACGAGGTTTGTCTTAAAAGACTGGTTAATTATTTTCAGATCTAAATAATAACGATACTGTGAGCACGCTATATGATTAATGTTGTGTTACAATTTATGACTTCTTTTTTCAGTCTTCACGAGACTTGGTGACGCTTCTTGTTACTTACAACAAAACAGTACAGTGATTACAAAGCATGTTTTATTTCACCTCAACATAGCTATTTGTACAAGTTTCTCCTGGGGACTGTCCGAGTCTGCTTGTCTAGTGGGTGGGTGGGCCGGCATGTATGTGAGTGAGTGAGTGAGTGAGTGAGTGAGTGAGTGAGTGAGGGAGTGAGGGAGTGAGGGAGTGAGGGATATTACACAAATCATGTTGTCCTTGCTAAGAACAACTGAACTGATGCTATGAACAATGGTAAAACTTACACTGCCTCATAAACTCCATTTCCATATTTTTTTTGTCTTGTACAAGTTTGCATAGATCATTGCAAAGAACAGTTTTATAGTTCTATTCGAACATATATATCATGTTATTATGGCATGTAATTGTAATATCGTATGGAAGCAAAAAGTGTTTGTTTCTTTCTTTCTTGTTTAACGCCGCACTCAGAAATATTCCAGCTATATGACAGTGGTCTGTAAATAATCAAGTCTGACTAGACAACCCAGTGATTGATATCATGAGCATGGATCCACGCAATTGGGAAACGATGACATATATCAACCAAGTCAGCGAGCCTGACCACCCGATCCCGTTAGTCGCCTCTTACGACAAGCATAATCGTCTTTCACGGCAAGCATGGGTTGCTGAAGACCTATTCGACCCCGGACCTATACGGTTTTGAAGTGACACAGACATTAGACAGTAACCACTTTGTTGAAACCCACAAGGACGGGTTTGGTGTTGAAAAGAAAGGGCTCGTAATCAGGGCAAACCGGGACTCAAACTGGCCATTACATCCTGGTAGTCTGACAACTCTGATTATGGACCCCTGTTCCCCCAATTAAGTGTGAAATCAACGACTGTATCAACACTTTACATAGAAGTATCATTAATACCTACTGGGAATGAAACCTGGTCTTCGGCATGATGGTAAAACGCTTTAACCACGAGACTACCCAACCACTCCACTTTCAATTATAGAAAATTTGTAGGGCAAGTACAATCACCGAAGGTCTAATGGTTTTTCAGTTTTACGGAGCCAAAGAACTTTCAAAACACAAGGAAAAGGTATAAAAATAGGTGAGTGAGTTGAGTTTTACGCCCATTTGACCAGTATTTCAGTAAAGTTTTGGCATGTGATCATGATGTGGGAGGAAAGCCTGAAGCAATGCTGGTCCTCAACATTTAACACTTTTGTGAAACCCCTTGTATGGTACTGACAAACCAAGAAACAATCAGGGAGAACCAAGATGATCCTAAGTGATTTCGGCATTCCTAAGGAACTCAAATGTGGACAGTGAATATCGCCGCTTTAGACTGGGCCAGCCATGCTCCTCCCAATGAGGAGACACAGAGTATTTATGTTGTTTTCATCTTTCAATACATCAAATCAAAGCTAAATCCCATTAAAAAGCTCCAAGGGAACGCTGTATTAATTGAGAAATCAATTTGATATTTCCACCCATAAATGACTGCCCTAAGAAAGCCTTCCATTCCATATTTCAAAATTATTTTCCAATACTGTAAAACTTTTACTTTTTCGATGCTGCTTGAAATATTTCCCCACTTGATATCGTGATATTAGTAATTTTCCAGTATTGATGAACGACAGAGACAAATGCATTGGTCATGTCCCAAGGGCATATTGTAGCTGCACCGACAGATGCCAATACAGTTTATAGATCGGTGACAGGGCGCGGCCATGTTGGGATGCTACTTTCCTTTTATCTTACAAACTAGTTCCTTTTATCAATACTTTCTGGGCAGCAACCAGGAAATGATATTGCAAAGGCAACTAGCTGTTTTTTTACAGTATATGATAATTAAATAATAACTACTTGGTCACTTTTCTAAAATGTTGCTTTTTGTGACAATTATTATAAGACATAATTTAAATGTTTGATGAAGCCAAATACAATCTTGCTACTGATGTAAGTCATTGTTAACAAAATCAAGAAATTATTCTACTGCAATTTCATGAACAATTAAACAATTATAGTCTCGCTCATTTGAGGGCTTTTTCTGTTATCAGATACATGTAACTGGGAACATTGATGGCTGGTCCATGGAAATGGTTTCATTTATCTTGGCATGTGGCTACACTTGAGGGACACAAAATATAAAAAAACTTAATGTTATTTCCATTTATCCACATAAATGCAACAACATTTGACCCTTTCCCATGTTTTCCTAACAACTATTAGTAGAGTTATTATTCCATATTTATTTGTTTGTTTGTTTAACTTTGCACACAGCAATATTCCAGGTATATGACAGCAGTGTGTAAATAAGTGAGCCTTGACCAGACAATCCAGTGATTGACATCATGAGCATCGATCCAAGCAATTGGGCTACAATGACATGCATCACCAAGTCAGTGAGCCTGATCACCCAATCCCATTAGTCGCCTCTTACGACAAGCATAGTTGCCTTTTACGGCAAGCATGGGTTGCTGAAGACCTATTCTACCCCAGATCTTCACGGGTCTCCATATATGTAATAACTAAAGGTCTTTGATGAGCGTGTAGGGTTTATATATATTATCCCACAAGAATGGTGCTGACACACCTAGAAACTTCATCAGGGCTTACTGGGATTCGAACCCAAAATCAGTTTTCTGACTTGACTACAGGACACAATTCTTCTTTGCAAATCGCAACACTATAAAAATACTATAATGTTGTGACATCAATGTGAAGATATGTTCCACAGTCTTGCGTGACAACGGTATAAAGATCTATACTGAAACGTCGCAGTCTTGCTTGACAACGGTATAAGGATCTATTCCAAAACGTCGCAGTCTTGCTTGACAACGGTATAAGGATCTATACCGAAACGTCGCAGTCTTGCTTGACAATGGTATCAGGATCTATACCGAAACGTTGCCTTTACTGTTATTAAAGAAGTTGTTATCTATAAATTGTGTCTACTTAGTCTTTGAGTTTTAAATGTAGATCTGTTCAGAAGAGGGTGTTTGATTGGTTGTTGGTTTCAAGGTCATGAGCAAGAGAAATCCTGTGCAAAGTTATCGAAAAGGCAAATGGATCTGCTGACGTCGCTTCTGAAACAAAGTTATGGTGAATTGGTCAGGGTATATCATAATAAAACAGAGAATAAATTCCCCGCTAATGGTGGATGCTCCTGAACAGTTGGAGCAAGATTCCTACCTTCTTGTCATTGTGGCTGAGGCAACTGAGATACAGCCAGATGAGAGTGGGGACATATTCCAGGGCGAAGATGCGCAGGTCGGACTGCTTGGAGCGGTAGAACTCGAACAGCTGGTGACACACTGGATCCAGGTGCTGTAAACAGAGGCAGACACTCATACCTTATTGCCTGGTCATAACAGAGCCGCCAAGGCTAGCCATCTACCAAGAGGAAATATCGCAAGCTACTCTAGACCACATGCGACTCGAAATTAATTCTGCACTTCATGTTCTTGTTTGTTTGTACTTTTATCTCAGAGGACATTGGGACACACTATCTGGGAGTATAGTGGTTCCTGCTTACAGAATTTGAGGTTTTATATATTTAAGGGTCACTACTAGTGCTTCCCTCTCAACTGTGTTCAATGTATCACAACCTTCGGTTTGGGTTAGATCAGGTCTTCAGCCCACATCCAGCACACCCACACCCACACCCAGCACACCCACACCCACACCCAGCAACCCCACACCCACACCCAGCACACCCACACCCACACCCAGCACACCCACACCCACACCCAGAACACCCACACCCAGCAACCCACACCCACACCCAGCAACCCACACCCACACCCAGCAACCCCACACCCACACCCAGCAACCCGCACCCACACCCAGCAACCCACACCCACACCCAGCAACCCCACACCCACACCCAGCACACCCACACCCACACCCAGCAACCCACACCCAGCAACCCACACCCACACCCAGCAACCCACACCCAGCACACCCCCACCCACACCCAGCAACCCACACCCACACCCAGCAACCCCACACCCACACCCAGCACACCCACACCCACACCCAGCACACCCACACCCACACCCAGAACACCCACACCCAGCAACCCACACCCACACCCAGCAACCCACACCCAGCAACCCCCCACCCACACCCAGCAACCCACACCCAGCACACCCCCACCCACACCCAGCAACCCCCCACCCACACCCAGCACACCCACACCCACACCCAGCAACCCACACCCAGCAACCCACACCCACACCCAGCAACCCACACCCAGCACACCCACATCCACACCCAGCAACCCACACCCACATCCAGCAACCCCACACCCACACCCAGCACACCCACACCCACACCCAGCAACCCACACCCAGCAACCCCACACCCAGCACACCCACACCCAGCACACCCACACCCACACCCACACCCAGCAACCCACACCAACACCCAGCCTCGCACCCAGCACACCCCCACACACACACTCACACCCACACCCAGCACACCCACACCCAGCACACCCACACCCACACCCAGCACACCCACACCCAGCAACCCCACACCCACACCCACACCCAGCAACCCACACCCAGCAACCCCACACCCACACCCACACCTACACCCAGCAACCCACCCCACACCCAGCACACCCACACCCACACCCACACCCAGTACACCCACACCCACACCCAGCAACCCACACCCACACTCAGCACACCCCCACACACACACACACTCACACCCAGCAACCCACACCCACACCCAGCACACCCACACCCAGCCTCGCACCCACACCCAGCACACCAACACCCACACCCAGCACACCCACACCCAGCTTGCACCCAGCACACCCCCCCACACACACACACACTCACACACTCACACCCACACCCACACCCAGCACATCCACAACCAGCAACCCACACCCAAACCCACACCCAGCACATCAAAACACCCACACTCAGCACAACCACACCCAGCCTCGCACCCAGCACACCCACACCCAGCACACCCACTCCCACACCCACACCCAGCACACCCACACCCAGCCTCGCACCCAGCACACCCGCACCCAGCACACCCACACCCAGCACACCTACACCCAGCTTGCACCCACACCCACACCCAGCACACCCACTCCCACACCCACACCCACACCCAGCAACCCACACCCACACCCACACCCACACCCAAACCCACACCCACACCCACACCCACACCCAGCACACCCACACCCACACCCACCAACCCACACCCACACCCACACCCACACCCACACCCACACCCAAACCCACGCCCACACCCACACCCACACCAACACCCACACATACACCCACCAACCCAGGCCCAAACCCACACCTAGCACATCCACACCCACACCCACACCCACACCCACACCCACACACACACCCACACACACACACACACACACACCCACACACACACCCACCAACCCACACCCACAACCAGAACCACACCCAGTATTATATCCTGAAAAAACAAAATATAATGCTGCAAAACACAATTTCTATGAAGTTCAAGAAACAAATGAAACATTTTCCACAAAAACATGATGGAAGTACAAACTGACAAAACCAGTTACTGCATTTACTACTGAATTCATTCGGGTGGGAGAAAGAATAAACATTACAGGTCACATTTTGACTCGTAATAATATCTACATGGAATATTTCTTAAGAAACATAAATGGTATTACTCTGTGATATGTGATTATGGTCATTGCCAGTTCAAACCCAAGATGTTGCTTTGGACAAAGTAGATTAAAATGCAAAATATTAAGATTCAAAAAGTTCAGTTCATTACCACATTGATTAACATACAAAGAAATAATGATAGTCACTACACCTATTCCGTCACACCCCATACAAGATGATGGTCAGTGTATGGAACTGGAAAGACTCCTGTTGAGATGGGCTCATTACAGAAGATCAAGTCTAGTGAGTGAGTGAGTGAGGGTGGGGTGAGTAAGTGGATGGAGTGGGTGGGTGGGTTGGTGAGTGGGAGGGTGGGGTGAGTAAGTGGATGGAGTGGGTGGGTGGGTTTGGTTGGTGGGTGGGGTGAGTAAGTGGATGGAGTGGGTGGGTGGGTTGGTGAGTGGGAGGGTGGGGTGAGTAAGTGGATGGAGTGGATGGGTGGGTTGGTGAGTGGGAGGGTCGGGTGAGTAAGTGGATGGAGTGGATGGGTGGGTTTGTTTGGTGGGTGGGAGGGTGGGGTGAGTAAGTGGATGGAGTGGGTGGGTGGGTTGGTGAGTGGGAGGGTCGGGTGAGTAAGTGGATGGAGTGGATGGGTGGGTTTGTTTGGTGGGTGGGAGGGTGGGGTGAGCAAGGTGGTGGAGTGGGTACCCCGGGTAGGTTGGTGGTAGGGAGGATTGTGTGAGTAAGTGGGTGGGTTGGCGGGTGGGTTGGTGAGTGGGAGGGTGAGGGGGAGGATGGTGTGAGTAAGTGGATGGAGTTGGTGGGTGGGTTGGTGGGTGGGGGGATGGTGTGAGTAAGTGGATGGAGAGGGTGGGTGGGTTGGTGAGTGGGAGGGTGGGGTGAGTAAGTGGATAGAGTGGGTGGGTGGTTTTGTCGAGTGTCGGGTGAATGGGTGTGAAAGTGAGTGAGCAAGCGATCACTAATGCAATAGTCTGTTCTAATAATTAATAGACCTAATAATCCCCTTCTCTCTGTTACGAACAAAGGCACCACCAGGAATACAACATCAAAGATCAATACCTCATGCCAACCAATATGACTCAAAACTTGCATCACCCCATCAGTTCTGATTTAACACCTATTTTGTCCATTGTAGCGCCCGAGCAGCCTGGGAAGAAGCAGCTGGAGTCCACCATTACTCCATATTTACTATGCATGGAACGTCTTCAAGTGGATAGTATCATGTCTGCCAAACTGGGATGTCTACAAAACTATAACTTTTCTCTTCGTTACAAAGAATAAAAGAAGTTGTTATCCATAAAAAAGTGTCATGCATTCAAATAACTCTTCTGAAAGTATGGAATCAATCCCACTTACGGAGACAAGGCTATTGAGACTCCGCTCTATGAGCACATGACCAGAGTATAAACGTGCCTCTACAGAAATAACTCCGTCACAAACCCGCACAGGACGTCACAAATGGTTTACACTCACTTTACCATGAGGAATCAAACTCAGGATATATTTGTGGTAAGCAAACAAACCAACCACTGGGCTACCAACTTGTGTAAAAGAAGTGGTTTTTCTTACAAACACTGAAACCATGGCAAGTGGAAGTCTTCGATAATATTTAACATTTGTTAAGTTACATATAGGGCAAGACAAGCTAATATTAGACCATTAGGATCCTGCTAGTGCCACAGTTACAGTGTCTCAAACAAGGTTACCAGCATTATTGAATCTATTTCTGCAAAGAACTGAAAATGTGATGATAATTCTAAGAGCTGAGGTGGAAAGCAATTTTTATTTTCACTCATCCATACAAAGGATCTGCTACCGAGGTGCCATCAACAGGATCAACCTAATGGTAAAAGTGCACAAGGAAATGTCTCGGGTCCTTCCTGAATTTAACTCCTTTCAGACTAGCAGACTGATGTGAATTTCAACCCCTGATGTCCACAATGCTGGACATGCATCACCATGGCTCATCACCCTATCATAAAATTCATCAGAGAAATTAACCTGAAATGCTTACTGGACAAAAAGTACAAGAAAACATGAGTACACCCCTTAAAAAAGCTGAAACTCCACTAGCATTCAGTTACTGTCAGTATTAGATGGACAAAAAAGGGCTAGTGGGCTCGTGCTGAATTTCTATCTGAGATCAGGGGAAGGCTCCTGTTGTATGGACACAAACAAGTTCTGGAATGTAATTACCGTATTTGACGTAATAAGCGACCACTCTAATAAGTGCCCACGGCGATATTTGCTAATATATTGGCAAGTGAACAATCCCGATTAGCACCCCTTCCGATTGATTAATGTACACAAGACTTATTTATTCGTGTATAATACGCTCTCGTGTGTTATATGCACCCTTAATTATGGGCAATTAAATTCTGGAAAAATATATCTGTCGTATATAAACATTTCAGGCCGTCAGCATAAACCACAAAATTTATCTTTCAACTGTTTTTTCCACCAAAATAATATTCTAATAAGAGCTCCCTAATTCTAATTTTGAGAGCACCCTGGGCACTTACTACGTCGAATACGGTATGTCATGTTCCACAAAATTCCCTCCTACCCCTATCATTGCAGTACCTGTCAATGTGAGATAAATATATCCTAAAAATAAACATACTGCAAACTACCATTTATATATAAATCAGGGACCCACCTACATCTTTTTGG